AGAAGCAAGAGCTGGTCAGAACGACCAGGGCAACAAGGAGAAAACAGCAACGACGCGGAAGAAGCAAGCCTAGAACTCCGCGCAAGCCGACCTGCAATCGCCAACCCAATGTGGGGAACCGTGGCCTGGGGGAGAACAACGCAGGGTGATCACCAGAGTTACCTGTAATGCTACCTCTGGGAATGCATCAAGGTCGCCTATCACTGCCCTAACCCATGGGTCCCGCCGCGCGAGCTGTTGGAGGCGAGCCCGTGCTGTCCCCAGCAGCTGGATCCGGGTGAATCGCCTGTGTGGGATGTCATGATAGGCCTTACTCGCGACATCGTAGAAAAGTACAATGGAAAGGAAAGCCTCCACGGGCAGGGAGAAAAAGCGCAAGAAACACAGCCTAGACACACCATCCCCGAGGACGAAGCAACTGGGGAGGTGGGGCGAACCGATCGCGATCTCGTTCATAGGGCACTCGATAATATGCCGAATGTGGTCACCATGAATTAGGCGTCCGACATGCTATGCAGGAGCTTGCGGTCCCAAATCGCCCAGAAAGATAGCACGAATTCGTGAGTCCGCAGGAGCAAGGAGCGAGAGAGGGAGGTGGAGCCCAAGCCGGCAGAAGATGGTGCTGGCGATGATCTCTTCATTGGCCGTGAGCGGCACGGCTCCACTGAAGCGCTGAGCCCGTCTCCTTAAACCCAACCATGAAGGGTACCGTTCAACTTTGTGCTGCAGGTGGCAGTTCTCTGAGGGAGAAGTGGGTGAGAGGAAGAGGAGGAGGACGAGGAGGAGGGGAGGCAAGTGAAGAAATAAGTACAGAAGACGGGCGAAGCAGGAAGGAATGAGGAACGAGCAACAGGGAGAGAGGGGGGGATGAAGGAGGCAGGATGAATGAGCGAGGAGGGAGGATAATCAATGGAGGCGGACGACGACGAGCAGCAGGGAGGGAGAAGGACTTAGGAATGAGGGAGGGGAGGAGGAAAAAGACAGGGAGGAGAGACAGATGCGGAGGAGGTCGACGAGAAGAAGGAGAAGCACGACGAAGACTCGGAGGGAACATGAACAGAGGAGTGAGGCAAAAGGACGAGGAGCGGCATGCGAGTGACGGGGGCGGCTGGGCGGCGAAGGGATACTCCTGCCGACGTTTTCCCAGGACCAGCTGCGGGGGCGGGTCACGGCTCGACGTGGACGGTTCGAGAGAAACTCCAGGGCCAAACCGAGACTATTGTGGGCCTGTTTTCCGCATCCACCACCACAAGTAGCAGGGGGAGGGGTCCGCCTCCTCCTCCTCCTCCTCCTCCTCCTCCTCCTCCTCCTCCTCCTCCTCCCCTATTCCTCATCCTCCACCTCATTCCCCCCTCCAACTCATGGTGGTGGTGGAAAACAAGGCCATCAAAGACTACGTCTCGCCTTCAGTTCCGCCGCCTTCTGCAAGCAGGCCCGCCGCCGTTGTGCTCCCCCCGGCCCTGCGTTGGCTCCCGCCGAGGCCGAGGCTGCGCCGAGGGCGAGGGGCGAGGCCCCTCCTGCAACGCCTCGAGTGGTCTCGCGGGGTGCTCTGCCCCCCGGCAGTTGAGCGCGCCGGCACCCCCTCTGAAGGCCCCGCGCCGGCAGCCCTCGCCGGAGCCCGGGCGGCTGTGGCTGAGCGCGCCGCCGGATGGCGCACCGCCGTGGAGACGATAGCGCGCTGGCTGAAAGGAATGAGGACGTGTTCGGTGGCAACTCACGGGAGCCTCAGATACCATCTTGTCCGCTCCTGCGAATCGACGCTCATCGACGCCAAATCGACGCTAATCGATGCTAAATCGACGCTCGTCGACGCTATTGGCCCTATCTCATCGACTCCAGACGCTAATCGACGCCAGTCGGCGCTGCAGACGGAGGTAAGAGGGTATACCCGGCTCCCGTGCTCTGCTGCCGAACACGTGCATCCGAGACATCGAGCCACGTGCGGGCACACACACACACACACACTTATACACACACTTACACACACACTTACACACACACACACACCAGTCTGCACGAAGAAGCGGAGGCCTGTCGCCCCCCCCCCACCCCCAGAGGGCGTGCGGGACGGTCTCGCGCGAAGGGGGGGCCACCACGGATGTGCGAGGCACGGCTTCTCGCCTGCCACGGCGTCGCGGGGGGAGGCCTCGGGGGCCACCCAGGGCGATCTCGGGAGTCGGCGGCGTGTCGGTTCGAGCCAGCTGCGATGCGAGGCGCGACGCTGCGGCAGGTTCATGTCGCGAGCATCGGCGTCGATTTTCTGACACCGCGTGGCCCGTTCAGCCTTCAACGATGGTAACTTTCCGATTGTGCAGATCGTTTGACAGCGACCGGTCTGTGGCATCTGGCGACGTTCAACCTTGCACGCCCGCTCGTGAGTTTCTGCCGCGTCAGCGCGGCGGCAACCTGTCGTATCTATCAGCACTTCTCTGAATGCAGGGCCGGGTTGGTCTCGGGCGTGTGGGAACGGTCGGGAGAACGATGAAGAGCTCGACGCATGCTGTTTGCCCCCCTCCGGCAAATAGTTACGTAGACCCCCCTCTCCGGATCTCAGGCACAGTGGACCTACAGAGACAACCATGGCGTTAGGTCGGGCATGTCCTCCTACAGAAGGATTTTGGGCGAAAGAAAAACTAAGCATGAGTCCAAAATAGTTAATGGAACGTCCCGAGACTACTTTTGGAACTATTTTTGAATATTCCTCCTGTAGACAGACATGCCCGACTTAAACCTGCAGAGGCGACCATGGCGCCCACAGACGTCGATCTGGCAGCGTCTACTGGGCGGTGCTCTGGCCTCGCTGCCCGCCTCCAGCCCCCCTCCGGTGGGCCAGCAAGGGCTGCAGGAGGAGGAGAAGGGAGGGAGGATGGAGGAGCCGGGAGGCCGAGGAGGAGGGGGGTGGGAGGAGGAAGCTCCTTCCTCACGGAGGGGGGTGAGGAGGAGGAGGATAGGGAGGAGGAGGAGGAGGAGGAGGAGGAGGAGGAGGAGGAGGAGGAGGAGGGAGGGGGGAGAGCAGCACCTTCATGAACAGGAGGAGGGAGGAGGGAGAAAAACTAGGCCATTGTGTCATGCGCGGCGCAAGCACACAAGAGCTGCGTACTCTGGAGGGGGAAGAGGAGGAGGTGGCGGATGAGTAGGGGGCTGAGCAGAGGAACAAGGAAGATGAAGACGGAGGAGGACGAGCAGGAACAGCAGCAGCAGGAACAGGAGTGGGGGAAGCAGAAGGAGCAGGATGGCCAGGGGAATGCAAATGAGGGGAAAGGAGCGAGGCGACGACGATGAGGAAAGTGGCCCGCGTTGGGGCGAGGGCGCGATTCTGAACGATAGAAGCCGGGGGAGGGAAGCGAACAGTACTCAGACTTAGTAATTGTTGAGAGAGGGATACCGGGGCAAGGGATTGAAGAGAGAGAGAGAGAGGAGAGAGGGAGCATTGGAGGAGAAAGGAAGGATGAGAGAGGAAGGCAGGGCCCACCATGGGCTGACACAGAACACGCCCCTTACAAGGGCTCGCTTCTGCTGGGCGGTGGGGGCAACCCAACCTGGGCCCTCTGCTGTGGCACAGTCCTCTTTGTTCCTCCTCCTCCTCCTCCTCCTCCTCCTCCTCCTCCTCCTCCTCTGATCATCTACCTTCGCCTCCTCCTCCTCCTCCTCCTTCTCCCTCCCTCCCTCCCTCCCCCGTCCCTCCGTCCCGCTTCTCTCTACTCGTAGTCCTCTACCAGCCTCCCTCTACCCTTCAATCGCATCGCCTCTTTCGAGGCGGCCGGCAAGCGGCTGGGTGTGACCACTGAGGAAGACCGCCGACCTTTCTGCGTGTGTGAGACGCTGTCGTCGCCGCCATCGTCGTCGCCGCCAGTCCCAAGGACATTGAGGAACAATGGACAGGAACGTCATAGTTAAGTCGGTTCCCTTCCCTTTTCCCCTTCCCTGCTGGGAGTGGGCGTTGGGAGGGGGGGAAGACGGGAGGGGGAAGGGGGTCGGTTGGGGGGGGGGGACAAGTCAGAACACCGTCCCCCCCTGGCGGATCCCGGCGGGTCTGGGGGGGGGGGGGGGGGGGTCGCAGGGAAAGTGCCGCCTTCAGGGTCGGCGGCACCGGCAACGAGGCGTTCGCATAACTCGGTTCTCACAGGCCAGAAATTTCTTGGGTCGGTGGCCTCACTTGCTGCTCCCATGGCCCTGTGGCTCGCACGGCAAACCCTGGTGATGCTGACCAGGATCGCAAGACGGAGGCAGAGAAACATCTCTCTGCCTCCCTCGCGATCTCTCTCTCTCTCTATCCCTCTCTCTCTCTCTCTCTCCTGATGTGTTCCCTCTCTGTCTCCCTCTCTCCCTGTCTCTCTTTTGTTATTTCTTTCTCCCTCTCTCTCTCGTGCTCTCCCTTTTTTTTTTTCTCTCTCTCTCTCTCTCTCTCTCTTTCTCCCTTCATCATGTGCCGTTTCTTTGCCGTGGGAATATGTCAAACGCTCGGGAGTACGTACTGGTTTGCTGAAATGCCTGGTCAAAAGACAAACACAAATTCAACTTACACCATTCCACCAAGGAGACTGCCCATGTTGACCATCGGAACGTCGTTGAGCCAGGGGCGGTGGCGAAGGGTAGGGGGAAGAGGGGAAGGGGATATGTATCGGTCTCCTCCTCTCCTCCCCTCCCACCCAAACGTCCAGGCTTTGCGAATCGACCGTCCTCGCGACCCCCTTCTTGGGGGTAGATGTTTCATCTCGGGCGGTCGCTTTCCACGGCCACAGGGCCTAGACGTAGCCTCCAGATGTCGAAGCACGTCTTGCTTTGTGCCGCCAGAGATCTGGGTCCTTCTCCTCTTCCTCCTCCTCCTCCTCCTCCTTCGCCTGCATGCTCCTGCTCCCCCTCCTTCGCCTGCTCCTCCTCCTCCTTCTCCTGCTCCTCCTCCTTCTCCTCCTCCTCCTCCTCCTCCTCCTCCTCCTTCGTCGGCTCCTCCTCCTCTTCCTTGTGTTCTCTCCCTTCTGCCGCAGGGGCCGTCGCCAAGGGCTCCTCGAGCTCGTGGCACTTCTGCTGGAGCTGCTTGGTGTGCTGGCCGATCTCGGCCTCGAGGAAGGACACCTGAGGAGCAGAGGGAGGACGAGGAGGAGGCGGAGGAGGAGGAGCAGGAGGAGGAGCAGGAGGAGGAGAAGAGGGAGGAGGAGGAGGAGGAGGAGGAGGAGGAGGAGGAGGAGGAGGAGGAGGAGGAGGAGGAGGAGGAGGAGGAGGAGGAGAGGTACAAGGAGGGGAAGAGGGGGAGGATGAGGAGGATCAGAGGGAGGAGGAGGATGAGGAGGAGGAGGACGAGGAAGAGGAGGGGGAAGAGGAGGATTCGGACTTCGCCGCCGACGCGCTGCTTGCCCTCCGCGCGCCCGCGCGCCGCCGCGCTCCGCGCCCCCGGCGCGGGGGGCCCTCCGGCCGAGGGCGGCCGGGAGGCAGGGGAACAACGAATGGCATATAAGCATAACAACTCGGAGGTCCGCGCGGATTTTTGTTCGCACCGAGCCGTTGCCGAGATCGCCCGTGGCTTGAGAAAGCCCCCCAGAGTGCTGGCAGCATCAGCGCACCCTCGCGCACCATTATCGGGGAGACGTAAGACCCGGGTACGGGGGACTCGGAAATCCCCGACGAGGTCGTCAAAAAATGACGAGGCCGAGCCTGCATTTTGACGAGGCCTCCCGCTGCAGACATCCCACAAAACTCCTCCTCGTCAAAATCCGAGTCGCGGTCGTCAAAAAACGATGGCGAACCCGAGTCCTGGCAAACCCGGGTCTTACGCTCCCCCGACATTAGGGGAAAGAAGAGTGACGTGAACATAAAAACTCGGAGGTCCTCCGCGCGCCAGGGAGGGGGGTCCAGCGCGGATCCGAGGAATCCGCGCGGACCTCCGAGTTTCTATGTCATTGTCATTCTTCGTTTCCCTAGGAGGCCCAGACCTCTGATGGCTCGAAACGCCGCGCCAGACTCTGGTCGTTACCTGGCGCGGCGATGGATGCTGCCACAGGGTGACAACAAAGGCGGGCCACGCCACACTTAACACCCACACGCATGCATAGAGACACGCAAACATCTTCCCGCCTACGCCGCCACAGCGATGCAATGCAGCATCGGCCGGCCCACGAGAAACAGGGTGCGCAAGCTCGTACTGTAGTCGCGCGTGCACCGCTAGTGCTCAAGCCAACGATGTGTCGTCGCGACTTAGACTTAGGGGCAGTCGTCGCAGGCGCACCGCTACTCCTCTGACGATGTGCAGCACGATCGCGTCGAATGTGGGAGCATACATTGAGCGAATTGCGGCTACATCATATCGCGAATCTGCTCGAGCCCGACTGTGGGATGCCGGTTGAGGGACTAGCTAGACGAGCAGCGGGCATGCGCGAGCGCGTTCATTGGTTCCTCGAACGGCGAGACGGCGGCACCGTCGCCGGAACACGTTTAGGCGTAGCAGATGGAAGGACTGGACAGAAACAATCGCTTTCAACGAAAAAACATTGGGCGTGCACGGGGAACATGCCAGATCGGCCATGCAAATGCAGGATCGCACACGCACACACACACACACACACTTTTCTTCCCTGCTGAGGCGACGAAACATTAGCCCTGAGCGAATGCAACATGCGGACGCACTAAGTGCTCAAGCATGGCGAGCGCGCGCTGGCCTTGTGGATGCCACGACTATGGAGCGAGTATGGAAAGCCCAGCAGTCCTATCACAGAATGATTGAAGTATTTTTACTGTGCTTTCAAAATGTTTTTAATTTCCTCCGTCCGCCGGAAGGTGTTCCCGGGAAAGTTTGCAATACACGTGAAACATACAGGCTTTGAACATTCAAAACAGGTACCCCCCCAAAACAAAATCCGTATGTATTAAATGTTTTGAATGTCTTGCAAACATCATCATAAACACATGTTTGAATTTTTGAAACATACATGTCAGAGGTGTATTGAATGCGTTTTAAATGTTTCCCAAGGTTTACACAAACTATTCAAAATGCTTGATCTGTCTCGACGTATCCCCCGCGGAGGTGGACATCCAACACACATTTTTACACAATCAACCACACATCTGGAAACTATTGAGCAGCATGCCTCCTCCCAACTGGCTGGCTTCCACAACTGTAGCCGAGAAGCGTGGGCTCCCAGTTGAAGAACAAGTCCACGTCGCCAATCTAGTTTTGATGCCCAACGCTCCCTTCGGCTTCCGGACGGCGCCAAGGCAGCCAAAGACCGCCCGAAAACAACCACAAGGCGCCCTGCCCCGAGACCGCTCAAAGACGGCCCAACGAGCTCCCAAAGACTCCGAGATCTCCCAAAGCTGCCTGAAGAGGCCTCCAAGAGACGCCCGAAGCTGCCCCCAGCAAGACCCTCAGCGGCAAGACGCCGATGAGAAACCGATACATGTTTCGCTTCCGAGACGTCTCGGCTTCGGATCGCCCCGGGAAGCCTCAGAGAGCCCCGAGACCCGTCCAAGGCGACCCAGCACCACTCCGAGAGAACCCCGAACGGCATCATGCATGCCCAAGGGCACCCCAAGACGGCCCAAGATGGCCCCAAGGCCCGCCCAGACGCAGGTTTAGCCGAACCTCTTCGCGAAAGCTCGAGAGGAGGAGGGGGAGGAGGAGCAGGAGCAGCAGGAGCAGGAGGAGGAGGAGGACGCTCACCACTACTCCCCCGACCGGCGGGGGAGGCTGCGGGAGAGACCGCCGGCACGGAGCAGACCCGCGGCGGATGGGGGCACCGACCAAGGACGGGCTGCCTCACCGAGGAGAGGGGGGGGGGAACCGGAGGCGCGCCCCCCCGCACGCTTCCACTGGGATGACCGTGGGGGGTTCCAAGTGGATAGGGGGGGCTACAAGTGGATGCTGAGGTGGGTTATATCGGGCCCAACCTGGCTGATGAGTGGGTTCCAGATTCCCCGGGTGGCCTGGGGGGAGTCGGATCACTCCGCCGAGTGGGCGGGGCCCACTTCGCCCGGATCGCGAACACCCCCAAGCTACTTGGGGCACTTGTAGCCCACTTGTGAAGCCAGGTTGGGCCAGATGTAACCCACCTCAGCATCCACTTGTGACCCCCCAGTCCACTCTTAGAACCCCCCGCGGTCATCCCAGCAGGGGCGCCGCGAGGGCGCGAGCGCGAACTCTTCCGCCCTGCCCCCGCGCGAAGGTCCGACCCGGATGCGACTCGAGCGGAGGGGGAGGGAGCGGGGGCCATGACCAAGACCGAACGCGGGATCTTCGTGTCGATCTTGGTCACCGTCCAGTTTGGCCAGCGTCATGTCGTGGCCTGGAGCGAGCTTTTCTCGGGCGCGGCCTCACCGACCCCTAGCAAGCCACCCCCTTCCGTGACGTCATCCTCGCCTTTCAGCCTTCCCTCCAGCCGCACACACACAGACACAGACACAGACACAGGCACACACACAAACACACACACACACACACACACACACGCACGCACGCACGCACGCACGCACGCACGCACGCACGCACGCACGCACACGCACACGCACACGCACACACGCACACGCACGCACGCACGCACGCACGCACGCACACACGCACACGCACACGCACGCACACACGCACACACGCACACACGCACACACGCACACACGCACACACGCACACACGCACACACGCACACACGCACACACGCACACGCACACACACACGCACACACGCACACACGCACACACGCACACACGCACACACGCACACACGCACACACACACACACACAACACACACACACACCACACACACACACACACACACACGCACACACACACACACAACACACACACGCACACGCACACACGCACACACACCACGCACGCACACACACACACGCACACACACACACACACACACACACACCACACACACCACACCACACGCACGCACACACACACACACACACACACACACACACACACACACACACACACACACACACGCACGCACGCACGCACGCACGCACGCACGCGCACGCACGCACGCACGCACGCACGCACGCACGGCCTTACATCTATATAGAAGGCCCGTGGCTGCTAAGAAGCAGGGGTGCTTCTAAGAAGCCCTCCCCCCTCCCCCCACCCCCCTCTGCGCGTGGCTGAATGCAAGGGGGGGGGGGTCCCCACCTCTTGCCTGGCAATCCTGCCTGGCCTTTACTCCTCCCCTGCCACCTTCTTCTGCCAGAAGGCGTTCAGCTCCTCCAGCCTGCGCGCAGCGCTGCGGGACGGACAGCAGGGGCCCGGGCAGGCGCAGCGGAGACGCAGGGGAGGTTGGAGACACAGGGCAGGCAGGTCGGGCACCGTATTCGATCGACGACTTATCCATGCCCTTGCTCACGCCCGAGCCCAAGGAGGGGCGAGAGTGGGGGTACGGATGTGATTCTGGCCTTGGGAGGCAAGCCTTCCATCCATGCCCTGACCCCCTTGACGTCCGGAACTGAAAGCAACACAATCGGCGTGGCACTGGAAGGGGAGCGAGGGGTACTGGAAGGGGAGCGAGAAAAAAGAGAAAGAGAGAGAGAGAGAGAAGCATAGTGAGAGAGAGAGAGGGAGAGAGAGAGAGGCACAACAAAAAGAAAGAGAGAAGCCATATTCGACGGACCGAGAGAGCGCCACATGCAGTTCCCCGCAAGAGCGGACAGGAGAGAGGGGAGGGCGCGTCCGTATCTCGTCGTGGTCTACCCGCCTGCCCCCCTTGTGGCCTACCCGTGTGCCCCCCCTCCCCCTCTGGGCTTCCTCATTCGTGCCTCCTCCGCTCTCGTTCTTCATTCCTCTGTCATGTTTCTTCCTCCTCTTGCTGGTACTCCCTGCTCTTCCACCTCCTCCTTCATCCTTCCTCATTCCTCCCGCGCCACTCCTCCATATCTCCCCTTGCTCCCTGCTCCGACCCCGAAAACCAAAACTTGCGGATTCCTCAAGATCCCCTTCCCTCAAGAACCCGCGCCCGCGCTGCCACCGAGCCGCGACGGCACGAGCTTCATTACCGTACTTCGTACGTCCCCGTTTGCGCCGAGCCCGAAGTGGGCACTGGCGGGGCTCTTCAGCCTTGAAGGCCAGTGCCCGCGCTGCCACCACCGTGCCGAGACGGCACGAGTTTGGTGAACGTACTTCGTCCGCCCTCGTCTGCGCCAAGGGAAAAGCGGGCTCTGGCGCTGATCTCCAGACCCGAACCCCAACGCCCGCGCTGCCGCCGCAACGCCACCGCCGCCGCGCATGAACGGACCGCAGGTTAGCAACAGCCAGCCCGGCGAATACAGAAGAAGCGTACACCGATGACCATACCAGATGCACCAATGACGCGAGAGCCGAGGACGTCAAGGGATGCTGCCACCTCGACCCCCGCTTCGCCGACACTGCAGGAGGCCACGTGACGTGAGCACGACTTGCGGCCCGCCACTCGCGCGGGTCGCTGGGGCGGGCTGCCCGCGCTTCCAGCGGCCGCGCGCCTTCCCAAAAGAAAGCTGTCCCGTGCGGCGGAGCACACGTTGAATCTAGCAGTTGCGTGTTCTTTCTCCGGCGAGGAGCCGCCGAGGGCGCGTCAGGACCCCTGCATGGGGCCTTCCGCCACTCGGGATCATCAGCGCCACGGCGTTGGCGGCGGACCCCTTGAACAATGAGCTACGCGACGCTCGCTAACAGAGCGACTTCGCAGTGCGGGCGTGAACTGGATTGAAGGGGGGAGTAATGACACAGGTCAGAGGGTGGGCCGCATCGACGATGACGACGACGGTGACAGCGACGGCGAGGGCGATAGCGACGACGACGACGACGACGACAGCGACGGACGACGACAGGGGGCGACGGCGACGGCGGCGACGACGGCGATGGTGATTTCGACGTCGGCGACGGCAACGGCGACGGTGGCGGCGGTGACGGCGACAACGAGGACGTCGGCGACGACTAAGACCAATGGCAAGAACGCGCGACGGGCGAAGCGTCGTAGCCCGGAAGGGAGGGCGGCACAGCAAAGCTCTAGAGGGCGCCTTCCCCGACTGCGCCCCGCCCCCTGCCCGCTCCATCGCACGCCCCCTCAGAGACTCTCGCTGGGCATCCTTCGCGCGGCGCGGGCATCGGACAAGGAGCCCTGAGATGAGGAGTCCAGGGTCTGGAAGCCTGTGGAAATCCAAGGGCGGATCGGCCATGGCTGTCACCACCGCCCTCCTCAGACAAAGACTCCGCCAGGGCCTGCCAGCCTCCTGGCCTCCCGGGCACACTCCTTCACGAACGCCCCCACCGTACTACGTCGGGAGGAAGCGGGTCGACAGCTTCCGCTCCAGACGCGACAGCTCTTCGCCTCCATCGGCCCAGATCCCCTCAACTGGCGCCAGACAGGGCTGGACCTAAACGTTGTTTTTCGTTGTGTGTTCGTTTTGTTGTTCGTTTTGCTCCACCTGATTTGCTGTACCTCCCTTCCAAAACGAAAAACAAGACGCAGCCGATGTCCAGCAAAACAGTGTTTGGGTCCAGCCCTGGCGCCAGATCCCCATGGAGGCATCCCCAGCGGGCCCCTGGCCCTCGACGCCCGAGGCAACGCTCCGAACCCCTCCCGGGAGCTCTCCCGAAAGTCCCTCTCTGGAGATCCCTCTCTGGAGAATCCCTCCCTGGAGGATCCCTCCCTTAAAGGCCTCCTAGATGGGGTCCGAGTAGATGGGGTCGGAGGATCTCGCCGCATTGCCGATACATCAGCGATGCATCGCCGATGCATCGGCCATGCACTGGCGACGTCGGCGATACATCCGCGACGTCGGCGTGTAGAATACTGGGCCCCACATCGAGCCGCATCGCCGATGCATCGCCGATGCATCGACGATGCGGCGCGATCCTCCGACCCCGTCTACTCCGACCCCATCTAGGAGGCCTAGATCCCTGGAGCTGCATCGGCTTCCGGGGGCCCGACGCCCTGCACACCGCCCGCCAGCTGCCGCCGCCCGGGGGGGCACGGGCGGGGCCAGCAGTTCCCAAGTCTCGCCAGGTGACCCTTCGGTGTGCACCGGCCACGTCCCGCACGACCTACAGTGGAGGCCTGTCCACAAGAAACCCTCCAAAAAGAAACCCAACCCTGAGAGCCCAGAACGTCCATTGATCTTGTGTGTGTGATTGTCACGCTCTCCATCGCAAAACCCTCGAAACCCAAGAAACCCAGGGCACCCTGGAAGCAACGGTACACCTGACATAAGAGCGGCGGCGGTAACGACATCTCCGAGGGAAGCCACAACGCCGTCGTGCACACCGAGAGGACCAATCCCCAGCCGGCCTTCCGAACTCTTTCTCCCCCACTCCTGCCCCTACTCCCTCCGTCATGCTTCTCCTCGTCCGCACTATGATCCCCCCGCTCCTCATCCTCATCCTGCTTCTCCGCCTCCTCATTCTCTTCCCTCTACACTTGTGGGGCCCCCGCCTCCTTGTTCTCCTCCCCCCAAGCCCGTGTCCTCCTCCTAATTCTCCTCCTGATCCTCCTCCTCCTCCTCCTCCTCCTCCTCCACCCCCTCGCCTTTCCTCCTTTCCTCCTCTTCTTCCTCTCCTCGCCCCTCCCACTTCTCCTCCTCCCCCTCCTCCTCTTCTACCCCCCAACAGCTCTCCCCCCACACAGCCCGAGCCACAGAGAACGCAGCCCGGCCTGAAAGGTTTGAGACATCTGCCTCCCGCCCTCCCCTCTCCCCTCTCCCCTCTCCCCCTTCTCCCTCTCTCCCCTCCCCTCCCTTCTCCCCTCTCCCCCTCTCCTCCTTCACATTCTCTCCCCACCCCTCCCCTCTCCCCCTCCCCTCCCTCTCTCCCCTTCTCTCCTCTTCTCTCCCCCTCCCCTCCCCTCACCTCCCCCCTCCCCTCCTCTCTCCCCTCCCCTCTTCCCCAATTTAGAAGCACGGACGAACTGCACACGCAACCACGCACACTCACACTTTTTGCGTCGGCGGCTGGGGGCAGAGGCATTGCCTTGGCAATGCAGCATCAGTGGGACACACACAAAACGCGAATTAAGCCGCGGTGCGCGGGGGAAGAGAGGAGGCCTGGCGCGGGCGGGAAGAAAAAGGAGGCCGGGCCCGCTCAGAGCAGGGCCAGGCGGCGGCGGGCGGGGCGATGGGGCCGGGGACCAGCCGCGGCGGCAGGCAGGGCAGCAGCAGGGGGTAGGCAATCCAACCACACACGTTCTTTCGGAGGCCCGTGCCAGTGGCGGCGCCAGGGGCACCGCCAAGGGGGCCAAACGCCGATCCGAGAAGTCCGCGCGGGTTTCCGACATTGTGTGGTTGTGCTGGTTCGACGTCTTGGATCTCCTCCGTCATCATGCCTCATCACGTTTTTGATCTCCTCCCGTCCTCTGTCATCTACCTCTCCTCGTTCGGGAGCGCTCAAAGGGCGAGGGGAAGAGGAGGGACGAATGAGCGGGGAGCAGGTGGATCTGGAGAGATGGGGAGATGGATGAGGGAGGAAGGGGGAGAATGCGGAGCAAGAGGAGGAGGAGGGTGATGATGATGATGATGATGATGATGATGAGGAGGAGGAGGAGGAGGAGGAGGAGTTAACGCACCCTGAAAGAGACGAGACGAGGGCAAGCGGGCACGACGCGAGACGAGGGCAAATGATGATCGTCCGCGGCGCCCGATGCTAACTCTTCTCACCTGTAAAGTAGCGCTTTGGCAGCTCGGCTCGCTGCGGCCATCGCCGTAGGGCGGGAGCTCGGGTCAGTGTGCTGCTTCATAAGTGTGAAACGCCAGCGTGATGCGCTCAATCGTCGAGCGCAACGAAAGCGGATCCTGACTCTCGGGTGGGTACGCAGCTGCGGGCCCCAGGCCCCATGTAGCGAGCGTCGAACGGAGGAGGGGAGGATCAGGAGACCAGAGGAGGCTCGAAAGCGAGGGGCAGATGAGGTAGTGGGGACATGAATCTGGCCGGCTCCCGCACCGGAAAACGCATTGTTTCGGGGCGAACACGTGCATACGTCCAGTGGTGGTCCAGCCACCGCTCAGTGTCTTAAACGTGGCCCAGCGCCAGCTAGGGCGCACAGTTTTGAGTGATTCCGTGAGGTCGGCCCAACGCTTTTGGAGCTCTCCTGGCTCCGTCGGCGCCTGGAGGCCCCAAGCCGTGATGCGTTTGTGCAGGGTGACGGAAAATGGCGAGGCGAAGGCATGCTCCGCGAGCTTGCGTGCGAACGTGTGCTGATATTTCGGCCGACGGGGTGGAACGGAAGCTGCGGCCTCGCGCTGTTCGAGGCGCGCGGCGTGCAAGGCGGCTGTGACGGCTGGGCGGGAAACGGTTTTTGAGGCTGGGCTCCTATGAGGGAGCGGTAGTACGGTACGATGGACTGCTGAGACGACCAGAAGGCGGGAGACCACTCGCCAGCCTACCAGCGAGGCGCGTTCTGAAGGGTAGTTTCCTCCCATGATGTGTCAGCGATGCGCTCAACAAACTGCTCCCAGTCGCCCGCGAGAGTGACGCCAGCGGAGCGGGCAGCAGCAGCAACAGAAGTGATCTGAGCAGACTGTGGGACGGGCGGTGGGCGCCACCACTCCATGGCTATGACATCAATTTTGCGAAGTGAGTTCGGGGGGAGTCTAAGCATCTTATGGAAAACATGCAGTTCACGGCGTGCGATCAGTGGCTGAAGCGGGAAGCTAGGTGAAGAATATTTCCTCGTTGCCACCATGATTGTCCTGGTTCGAGCCACTGCAAGACCAGTGAGGCCTCGGGACCGAGGAACGTGCCAAGATATTTGGCACAGCCCGCAACAGAGACACCCGAGGAGAGGAGAAGGAGAAATAGGAGGAGGATGAGGAGGAAGAGAAGCATGAGCAAAAGGAGGAGAGGCATCTGGAGGACTCAATGGGCTCAAACGGGCCAAAGACGCACAGACCAGTCTAGATCCTCGAACCTCTCCCCCGGTCGTGACCGCCTCGCTCGCCTCCTCCCTCCTCCAGCCTGCTCTCCCCTTTGCCTCATCATCCCTCCTCCTACTCATCATCCTCATCCTCCCTCCACCTCCGACGACGACGAGGACACAAACAGAGCGGGTACGAACGCAGATGCGACAGGGGAGAGGACACCCAGTCCACGCCCATCCTCTGCCTCGCGCCTAGCGGCCTCCGTGCTGCCAGGGCGGTGAGGGCAGGCGCGCTGCGGTGGGGGGGGGAACCCGAGCCCGAGCCCAAGCCCGAGCCCGAAGCCCGAGCCCAAGCTCGAAGCTCGAGCTTGCGTCCAAGCCCGAGCCCACGCCCGAGCTTGACGCCCGCGACCGAGTTCGAGCCCGGCCGAGGAGTCCCAATACAAGCTCGAAGCCCGTGCCGGAGCTCGACGCAGAGCCCAGGCTCGAAACCCGAGCGCGAGCCCCAGCGAGCCCGAGCCCGAGCCCGAGCCCGCCGAGCAGACGCTGGCAGGGTAGAGGGTGGAGGGGAGAGAGCTGCCGCAGACGCCGTCGGAGGCAGTGGAAGTCGTCGTCGTCGTCGTCGGTCGTGGGGCCGCCGTCGTCGGAAGCCGCCGGGGGGCGGCGACGGTCCTCCGCTCCATCTCCTCGTGCTCCATCCGCTGCGCCCGTTCACAGCGCTGCACAAAGGTAGGGCTCCAGGACACGGGGCCCTGAGGGAGAGGAGAAGCCCTGAGCCCTGTAAAATGAAGACGCTGGGAGTCCCGGCCTACCCTTCGGACGGGCGTGCTTTCCTACAGGCGGGTTTCGAAAGAAAAACAATTGAAGCATTGTCAACAAGTTCCAAGAATTATATAACAATACTCAATACATCGTCCCCAGACTATGTTTTGACTATGTTTTAATTTGCCTCCTGTAGAGGAACAGGCCAGACTTAAGCTTACCCTCAAGTCCCCTCTCCTCCCACGCCCAACTCTTTCACCTCCTCTGGCCGTGGAGCGGCGCACAAAACGCCCGCAAGCGGGCGAAAAGCCTGGACCCGCTTCCCTCTTGGACCGCGGTGCGGGAGGGGACGAGGATGAGAGGGGGAGGACAAGGCTGAGGAGGAGCGCACGCGGCCGATGCCGCAGCTGTCAGAGGAAGGCGAGGACAAGCAAGAGGACGACGGCAAGGAGAAGCACGCGGCCGATGTCGCAGCTGTCGGAGGAGGACGAGGACGCCGGCGAGGAAAAAAATAAGATGAGGATGAGGATGATAATGATGAGGAGGAGGAGGAGGAGGAGGAGGAGGAGGAGGAGGATGATGATGATGATGATGATGAGGAGGAGGAGGAGGAGGATGAGGAGGAGGATGAGGATGAGGAGAAAAATGAGGAGGAGGTGAAGAAGAGGACGACGGCGAGAAGTACTAGGAATAATCGGAGGAGGAGGAGGCCCGGCGTCGAACCGCCGACCCGCTTCCGGCTCCTCCGCCTCCGCCGGCGCGCACGAGCGGCGGACGGCCTGCGAGTGCGCTCCAGCCTCCGCTCCCGCTGGAAGCTCAGCAGCTCCTCGTACTCGGCCTCCTCCTCTCTCGGGGAGGAGGAGGAGGAGGAGGAGGAGGAGGAGGAGGAGGAGGAGGAGGAGGAGGACGACGACAAGGAGGAGGAGGAGGAGAAGCAGGAGGAGGAGGAGGAGGAGGAAGCGGAGGAGGACGAGGAGGAGGAGGAGGAGGAGGAGGAGAAGCAGGAGGAGGAGGAGGAGGAGGAGAAGCAGCAGGAGGAGGAGGAGGAGGAGGAGGAGAAGGAGGAGGAGGAGGAGGAGGCACAGGGAAGCTGGAAAAAACGGAAGCTGGAACATCCGTGCAAGTGGAAGTGGCCAGAGCTGGAAACACCAGCAGGGGGCGAGGCGAGCCCGAAACAGCAGGGATTTGGCCGCCTGGGCTGGAAAAACATAAAGTGGAAACGGGCCAGGGCTGGAAAGAATGGCGGGGGGTGAGGCGAGCCCGAAAGAGCAGGGATGCGGCCGCCGGGGCTGGAACAAAAAGAACGGGATAACTGGCCAGGGCTGGACAAAGCGTGGAAGGGCTGGCCCCAAGCTTATGTTGCTCCCATCGTACTTAAGGACCACATCCCAAAAATAATTTCGAGCATCCGGAAAAGTGTCGAAAGAGTATCGCACGAGTGCCGAAACAGTGTCGGACGAGTGGTCTCCCAAGGCCCGGCACGCGAAAACCCTCGAGTTCCGGTACTTTTTGTTTCGTGCTCGAAATGCTTTCTGGTGGTCAAGGCCAAAGTGGGTTGAAACATCATAACTAGGGGGAAAACAAACCTACCTCGCTTTCGACCACCCTCGCTTCCAAGAGACACCAAGCGATGCCAAACTACGGCCTGTACTGGTCAGGCCGCTTGACGAGGAGGCGCGTGGTATGCCTTGGTTTTGCCCGGAAGCGAAAGCGGGGTAGGTAACTCACGCTCTGAATAACCCCAGGCACTCTGCTCCAGCTTCCGTGGAAGCGCCCGGCCGCGCACGCGCACGGGGCCCCAGCCGCGTCCGCGAGGCCAGCCTCGCGTGACGAGCGGGTCGCGCCACGCAACACCTGCAGGTTGTCGTCTTGGTTGCCGAGGGGGGGCGGCCGCGGCGCAGCACGCGCATGCCTCACGCGGCCTGCCGGGCCCCAGAGCAAGGACCCTGCAGTCGCCGAGCCAGTGCACGCGCCACGGCGTCGGTGCAGGAGCAGCAGCACCAGGAAGAGCATACAAGCGTCCTATTCGAAGAAGGCGAGAAAGTCACGCACATGGGTCCCACCAGAGCTGAATGAAGAAGTGGAGGAGGCAGAAAAAGACAGGCAGAACAAAACCATGAAGAACAAAAGGCACTGACTAAAAGAAACAATAAACCTGCACAAGGAGAGGGCAGGGGGACGGGAAACTCTGTGAGCAAGCCGATCCTGACGCCCCCGAGTCGGAGGACGCCACCCTCCCCCATGACGAGGGGGCAGCGCGGGGCGAAGAGAAAAACTGAGAAGAGCATGCACTGCAAAGCCGTATCCAAGCGGGGAGGGAGGACAGCGCGCGAGAGAGGGAGAGAAGGGGAGAAAGAGAGAGAGAGAGAGAGAAAGAGGTCTGGCCCTCACGCAGCCGCACTCAGACCATGGCGTGGGCGCTGATGCTGGCGTCGGAGCTGGCATACGTGACGGCGTTGGTGCCGGCGTAGGCGCAGGTGCTGGTGCTGGCTGGTGTAGGCGCCGGCGTCGTCGCTGGCGTAGGCGACAGCATTTGGGCTGTGGTCGTCCCTGCTGCAGTGGCCACTCGGTTGCGGGACTTCTCCACAATTTATTCAGACGCCGCGCCCTCGACACCCAGGAATCACGCTCTCGTTGTGGATTTCTTCACGATTTGTTTGTGAATCGCGCTATCGCTCGAGACTTCGCCGCGATCAATGCAGGACTCACGCTTCAGCAACCCACCTGCTCGACCAGGCCGCCCGGGCCCGCCTTCCCGACCCGCCCGTCAGGGTCTACCCGCCCGATCTGCCCTCGCGCAATGCAAGCTGTCGAAGCCCACGACAGCTATCGCACGTGTCTGTTGTCGCTCCCGACAGGAGCCGAGACTCGAGCTCTACTCCCGCCGTCAACCCCTCGCTGAGCCCCCCCGGGCATCCTCGCGTCCTGGAGCAGTTCCCCTGGCGAAGAATGCAGCCACATCGTCTTCGGTGGAGCTCCCTATGGGGCCACGAAGCGCGCGAGCGATGTGCCAAGAATGGGTGCGGGAACCGCATGGGAGAACTGCGCTGCGACTGGGGCCTTTGGTGGAGCTCCCGATGGGGCCACGAAACGTGTGAGGAGTGTACCGGAATGGGCGGAAGGGGGCGCGTGCAGCCGCGGCCTTTGGGGCCTTCGGTGGAGCTCCCCATGGAGCCACGAAGCGTGTGAAGGGTGTTCCGGAATTGGTGGCGGGAACGCATGCGAAGTGCCCCACTGGGACCTTCGGTGGAAATCCATAACCACATGCCGAGGATAATAAAGTACTCCCCCCCCCTTAACAGATTAACGTTGATTATCCACGGCAAAGAAGAGTTTGGTCAGGGGCGCGGGGCGCGGAGGCCGAACTTCATTATCACTGTGAAAAGTTCGCCATCGAGGTTACTTCCTTCTTATGTTGGGATAGCAACATCAAGCGAAGCGATTGTATCTTTCTCCTTCTTCTCGTGGCCCCCTGAACTTTTCTTATCGCTGCGGTTTACTATCCAGGGAAAACGAGGCAGATGAGCTACCCTATACCCTACACGAGCAGATGGAAATCTCAATTTCCATTAAGCGTTTACAATTAAAATCTAATTGGTTTGGAACTTTGCATTTTTCTTTCGTCCACCTCCTCCTACTCCTCTCCTCTCTATCTCTCTCTCTCTCTCTCTCTCCACCTCTCTATCTTTCTCTCTCAACCTCTCTCTCTCTCTGTCCCTCTCAACCTCTCTCTATCTCTCTCTATTTCTCTTTCCGTTTCTTTCTCTCTCTCTCTCTCTGTATCTTTCTCCTTCTCAAACGTGGCCCCCTGAACTTTTTTATCGCTGCGGTTTACGATCCAGGGACAACGAGGCAGATGAGCTACCCTACACGAGCAGATGAAAATCTCATTTCCATTAAGCGCTTACAATTAAAATCTGATAGGTTTGGAACTTTGCATTTTTCTTTCGTCCACCTCCTCCTACTCCTCTCCTCTCTATCTCTCTCTCTCTCTCCACCTCTCTCGATCTTTCTCTCTCAACCTTTCTCTCTGTCCCTCTCAACCTCGCTCTATCGCTCTGTTTCTCTTTCTCTTTCTTTCTTTCTCTCTCTCTCTCTCTGTTTCTCCTTCTCCCCGTGGCCCCCTGATTTTTTTTATCGCTGCGGTGTACGATCCAGGGAAAACGAGGCAGATGAGCTACCCTACACGGACAGATGAAAATCTCAATTTCCATTAAGCACTTACAAATAAAATCGAATAGGTTTGGAACCTGTCTAACTCTCTCTCTCTCTCTATCTCTGTCTGTCTCTCTCTCTCTCTCTCTCGCTCTCTCTCTCTCTCTCTGTCTTCCTCCTTCTCCCCCTGGCTCCCTGAACTTCTTTTTTATCGCTGTGTTTTACTATCCACGCACACCCTCTAGTAGTAGTAGTCGTAGTCGTAGTAGTAG